CCCAGGAGGGCTGCACTCCCCCGGGAAGGCTGCAGGAGGGTTTTCCTGGCTGGGAGGAGCTGGGCATCACGCCTGGCCGGGGCGGCCGAGGAGGTTGAGCTTTTACCTCACTCACCTCCTGCAGCGCCTACCAAAACCAAAACCAACTTATCTGCTTCCTGTTCCTCTTAATGAAGGGAGGCTTCTTCATAATCGCCTTCTCTTCCTAAAGAGATCAAGATCTAGGCTGAAATGATGCATTTTTCGCTAACGAGTAACTACAGCAGCTCAGGGGCCCGGCGGGAGCCGAGCCGGGGAAGTGCAGCATCCGAGTGCGAAAGCCGGAGGGGTACGGGAAAAAAGGGCCGCCGGCACCGACCGGCACCGAAACCTCCCGCGTGTCCTCGGCGCTGTCGGTGGGCTTTTACATCATTAACAGCGAAGACCAAGGCGAGTCTGCGGGGTAACGTGGGGTCCGATGGGTGCTCATTGCTATCGTACTTCTAGAGTTTATTTATTATCGTATTTTATTTAAATAACTTATTTTTATACTGCGTAATCTAACGATTCAAGAATAAAAGGTTTTGGCTGTTGACAGCTTTCCTGCGTTGGGACCCGGACCAAAAAGCAAAGCCAGTATTGAGAACAGGTGTTTTAACTTCCAGGAGAGTTCTGTGGAACACAGTTCTATTTAAAACACTGCTACCTCATTCTTCCAGAACTATTAGTGCCTAATTGCCTCTCCGTGACAACAAATGACCGTGTGCTGATTCATAATTTATTGTTCTTCCCTCTATTTAAAATATTTGTATTACGACAGAGTTAATATATTCAAATGATCATATATTTGGATGTTTTCTTTGTGGGTTTGTGTTTGTTTTTTTTTCATTTCAACTTTGCACTGATGTTATAAAAGTGTCTCAGGGCTTAAGCAATAAACTCCTGAATAACGAGCTCCTGGTACTGGTGGTTTATGCTGTCGATTCCCTCTCCTTACCTTCAGCAGCTAAGGAAGAGCATCCGGGGGTGCTGCCTCCTGCTCAGTCAGCTCAGGGAATGGGGTGGGGAAGGGCAGCGTTTTGGGGCAATATATAGCAAATCTGCCCACTTAGAGCAAGTTTTCAAGGAAGCAAAAGGCACCGATGCACCTGCCCGGCTCGTGGCATAGGAAAACACGGGGGGACGGGAAGGGCTGGGGGAGCGGGGATGAGCCCTCGATTGGGAAGAGGGTCTTGTGCCCAGGACCACGCCAAAGCGGAGCGTGTCAGGGGGCAGCCTGTGGGCTGGGGGGCTGCAAGGCTGAAACGGGAACCAGTGGGTGGCAAAGGGGCTCTGCAGGCGGAGGGCACCTCGGCGGGGGGGGAGGGATGGGGTCGGCTCGTGGGATGAGCAGCAGCAGGTACGCGGGTAGGAAATAACGGGGCAAACCGGCTGTCAGAAATGGCTATAAACGTGGGACGTGACTATAAACGCACGTGATGGGGCATCACCTGCAGCCTTGGGATTTGCCCTGGATAAACCACGGCGTTGTTGCCAGCAGCTGACACGGCAGCAACAGGAACGCATGAGAACCGCAGCACATCGCTGCCACCGCCAGCCAAAGCCAACCC